ACATCGCTGCTACAACCCGCTGCTGCAGATACACGCTTTACAACATCAGGAGGATACGTCCCCAGCTGACTCAGAAAACGACTCAGGTTCTGGTCCAGGCTCTCGTCATCTCACGCCTAGACTACTGCAACTCCCTCCTGGCTGGTCTACCTGCATGTGCCATCCGACCTCTGCAGCTCATCCAGAATGCAGCGGCTCGTCTGGTCTTCAACCTTCCTAAATTCTCCCACACCACGCCGCTCCTCCGCTCCCTTCACTGGCTTCCGGTAACTGCTAGAATCCACTTCAAGACACTGGTACTAGCGTATGGATCTGGCCCTTCCTACATCCAGGACATGGTGAAACCATACACCCCAGCACGTGCACTCCGCTCTGCATCAGCCAAACGGCTCGCTGCACCCTCGCTGCGAAGGGGACCCAAGTTCCCATCAGCAAAAACACGTGGGTTTGCTGTCCTGGCTCCAAGATGGTGGAATGAGCTCCCCATTGACATCAGGACAGCAGATAGCTTACACATCTTCCGGGGCAGACTGAAAACTCCTCTCTTTCGACTCCACTTCGAGCGATAGAACTATTAACAAAGTACTTATATACTAATACAGGACTGGCTTATCTAAAGCCAGTTGAGTAGCACTTAAAATGTTTTGGCTCTATAAAACCTGATGTACTTATATGATTCTGTTTTCTTCAAGTTTGTATCTTCTCGGTCGAACGCACTTATTGTAAGTCGCTTTGGATAAAAGCGTCAGCTAAATGCAATGTAATGCAATGAAAGACATTAAGAGCATTAAGAAACATATTATGAAAAACATTTAAAAACACTAATTGAAAAGCAAGCAACATGAATAAAGGTTACAGTGCAGTGTAAGATACACACATCATAAACAAGACCAAGATCACCTTTTATGTAGGTTTATTCAAACAGATCATTGTGTGACAGTTGTGTGAAATGAAAACTTTTAATAAACACTTAAAGGTAGGTAAGAATGGAGAAACCAGCTCGAGTGCGCTACAATTTGAAAGTACGCAGCCGCTTCCTCTCAGAGGGGAGAGGGGTTTTGTAATCGTAATATAATAATATTCCATTTCTCAAAGTCACATACTACTTGAACAATAATAACTAAATGGCTGCCACTTGAGCAAACATTCACAGGGTCTTTTCCATTAGTTTGTGTATGTTCTTTGTTAAATGTACTGTAACAAGGTAGGAATTGAATTACAATGCAATACAATACTGTCCCAAGGAGAGTTGGCACACTTTGCCTTAATTCAGGTTACTTTCACCACAAACAAAGAGGAAAATTCAAAGAGAAGCTGGAGCATTATAACCAATCAAAATGGGCTAGTCCTTGGGGTGTGCGGCAGCTGCTGTATTGATAATAGATGTCCTGAGAAAAATCGAAGTCACTACAAACACCTGAACCCTTTAAACTGTGTATCTGCCATCAGGTGCGGTGTAGTTTCAAAGATAAGGAAACATTTAAACAAGATTTGAAGGGATCAGTCATAATTTAAGTCATAGTTTAAAGTTATCTTGTGAAATAAAGTCAATTTCTTTAAATACCTCAAATGAAGGAAAAGAAGTAAGGCTTCACTGCAGCTGTGTTTGTTCAGCCCTCATGCTGTGCTGTACAGGAAATGCAGTTTTATATTGTTTCTCGATCATTTTGCAGTCTGAAAATAGTGCACTCATCAGATCTGTATTACAGCCTGACACATCAAACAAAGCTTTTCCTGGAGGTTCAGAGCCTATCAATCTTATTTGTCTACCTCCACTACAAAGATTATGTTGTCTTTTACCTGAAAGGAACAGATTGTACACTGAAACTAAATAACAGAACAAATGTTTCAACTCTGAAAAACATATACAGTTGCAAGAAAAAGTATGTGAACCCTTTGGAATTACCTGGATTTCTGCATAAGTTGGTCATAAAATGTGTTCTGATCTTCATCTAATAGACAAACACAGTCTGCTTAAACTAATACCACACAAACAATTATATGTTTTCATGTTTTTATTGAACACACCATGTAAACATTCACAGTGCAGGGTGAAAAAAGTATGTGAACCCCTAGGCTAAAGACTTCTTCAAGAGCTAATTGGAGTCAGGAGTCAGCCAACCTGGAGTCCAATCAATGAGACGAGATTGGAGGTGTTGGTTAAAGCTGCCCTGCCCTATAAAAAATACACACCAGTTTTGAATGAGCTATTCTTAAGAAGCATTGCCAGATGTGAACCATGCCTCGCACAAAAGAGCTCTCAGAAGACCTACGATTAAGAATTGTTGACTTGCATAAAGCTGGAAAGGGTTACAAAAGTATCTCTAAAAGCCTTGATGTTCATCAGTCCACGGTAAGACACATTGTCTATAAATGGAGAAAGTTCAGCACTGTTGCTACTCTCCCTAGGAGTGGCCGTCCTGTAAAGATGACTGCAAGAGCACAGCGCAGAATGTTCAATGAGGTGAAGAAGAATCCTAGAGTGTCAGCTAGAGACTTAAAGAAATCTCTGGCACATGCTAACATCTCTGTTGACGAATCTACGATACGTAAAACACTGAACAAGAATGGAGTTCATGGGAGGACACCACGGAGGAAGCCACTGCTGTCCAGAAAAAACATTGCTGCACGTTTGAAGTTTGCAAAAGAGCACCTGGATGTTCCACAGCACTACTGGCAAAATATTCTGTGGACAGATGAAACCAAAGTTGAGTTGTTTGGAAGGAACACACAACGCTATGTGTGGAGAATCCAAAGGGTTCACATACTTTTTCTTGCAACTGTATCATGGTTTATTCTCGTTTGTTTTGGTTTCTTCAGAAAATGATTTGACATGATACCTGACTCCAGCTGTTCTCTTTTCCTCACTTGTCCACCAGGCGTCCTCAGCACCTGGCGCTCACCTGCTGACTGATTTGCCAACTGCTCCTCATCTTAAATTACATCTTGCATGTAAAGACCAGACAGTTATATGGGGGTGTTGTTTGCTCTTGGCTTCTCTAGGTTATCTGTTCCCACCCTTTAGGGTATGTGCAGAACAAAGGCAACACATACACAATGAAATCAATTCTGACGGCCTAATCCTAAAATCCTAATTCTTGCATTCAAGGTGTTCAAAATACTTTTGAATACTGGTCCATTACATTTAAAAATGAAAAGCGTGCATGTCTGTTGTGAAACTTTGGTTATTATATAGACATGCTGGAAATAATGGTTATAGTTATAGTACAACTACATTGTTATATTTTCTCTATTAAAGTGATTTATGCAAGGCTATTTGATATGTATCCTTAAACATATAGACTCCATTCAAACCTGCATTCAAATATGAAATTGTTTGGACATTTAACAAGGACCATATATGTTTTTTGATTGGTCTCTCCACTCTGGCTATCATTTATGTTCATATTAGGCATGATCACAATGTGGACACAATAATGAGAACACATTTGAACACCAGATGTGAATGCAAAGACCAATGAATGTGTTGTTACTATCTGGAATACATATCCAAATAAAAATCACATTTTATTAACCGGCTTTAGTTCAACTATTAACTATATTTTAAAAGGTCCCTCACTAATAGAAGTTAATACATGTTTGTATTATGATGAAGAGTAACTTGTTATTTCATGCTTATCTTACTTGTTCATACTTTGCTGATGTCTAGACAGAGAGCTTTGTTTTTGTGTTCTCCACCACATCTACTGTAGCTGGTTCAAGCAAATTGCTTGCTTTTATCTTTACCAGCAGACCCATTTTCTCCACACACAACACAGCCCTTTTTTTACTGTTTGTTGTAAAACTGGAGAAGGTCAGTGGGACTGTAATTTAAAAATTCAGAGGGGAGAAAGTGCCACTATTGTCAAATCCAATACATCTAAAATGCAGCTGTGATGAATAGAGACACATCAAATGTTGCAAAAATACTGATTTGTGGTCAGCAGGACATACAAAAACGTGATGCTTATGTAGCTGCAGGATTTTAGAAATCTGCTTGTTATTGTCCTTTTTTGTATTAGCTTGCACAGTTTGTTCTTCTGGCATTACAGCCACATGCCAGGCCAAGCTGTGACTGCATAACGAAATCCACCTACGGAATATAAATTGCCCAAACTTGTGTTTGCTCAAATAAAAGCCAATTCCAAGATAATGGAGACACCTTGGTGTTAAGCAATAATCTTATAAACATAAATGCCACCAAAGCTGCTTGTAAGTCTGAGGTTTACCAAGCACTGCAGTGAGTCACCGTTTTTTAGCGTTTTTTAGATATGTGGTTTGAGTGAGATTTAGTAGCTATTATTGAATTATATTCTCCACACCATAAGCAAATAAACTGGTACAAAGGGCTGTTGATCTTCTTCTAAAGTATTGCATTCAAAAAGAACGCATACAAATGTAAAATAGAACTTATTAGAAAGCTATTTTGTGTGGTGTTATTTGTTTGGACCCCATTCTACTGTAATGCTCCTATTTTCTCCAGTGGAAACTGCCAAATGGAACTCCTACTATCGAATGGTTCAGACACTCAACATTGTCAGGGTCAAGGGTCAAATTCTGATGGAAACGGCAGCAATGACCTAGAAAGAACTTTGAAGAATATTCCAGTAGCCTCTCTGTTTTAAATAAAGGAACACAAAATAGTTTACATTAAAGAGGAATAATAATGCTTGGTTTAATTTATTAATGAAGTATTAAACATGTCAAATGTTTGCTAAAATGAACATTTGACAACCTTTTAGCGCTAAAAAATAAGCAAAAAAAAAGTATAAACTTGGTATAATGATAGACTATGAAAGTTGAGCCTATTTGAAATATATAAACTGTACAAGGGAAACAGAAAGTATCAACATGATACTCCTTTGTGGTTAAATAAAGCAGACAGTAAACTAAAGTTTCACTCTTACTTTTGTCCTTCAGCAGTCTTTCATTCCAGGGCATGTCCACTCCTGCTCAAATGAAAACATGACACCACAGGACTTCTAGTTCCTGTTCAGAGGCTGAGGTCTACTCAGTAACCGTTTTTCCACCAAGACGTCCAATTCAGCTGAAATGCATTAAATGAAGTGGACCTAAACCTTTTCACCAACAACATCTCCACTTGATGAAAGACATTAATAAGTCTGTGTGTGTTCACAGGGTGAGTATTCACACACTTGTTTTGTACTGCAGCTGTATTTGTTTGGCTTTTATCTAGTTCATCTAATGTGTTAAATATTGATTTCAATACAGATGAAAGGGATGAGTCTCTTCTCTGATGTGAGTACACAGCGACGTGTTTTTGGCTGGGTTTCCATCATCTGGTTCACTGCAGGCATCGCAGGTGAGGGATGGTTTTGAACTTGAAAATAAGTGTTTATCTTTTTTGTATTCACTGATTTAAAGGTTTTCAGCGTATGCAGGGCTGTAGTGGTCAATGTGCTCGATTTTGTGGAAGTTTTACACATCATTATGATTAAACAAATACACATTAGCTCTTAAATAAATAATTCTAACAGTAAACCTCCAGGTGTAATAATCTAAGATTGATTTTTCACTCGGTTTCTCTTGTGATTCTGGGAATATGCCTATCTTTACCCCAATATTGAAATCATTTCCAATTCTGGACACACTCAAATTGGATTTGTTGCTTGAAGTTAGAAGTATGGCAAAGTGTAGCTCCAGCAACATATCTTTAACTTAACTAGGCATGATTTAGTTTAGCAAAAAGACTGCAAACAGCTAGCATGGTTCTTCCAGATAATAGTCCAACACAAAACCAACTCTAATGTTTCTGCTTAGGTCTAAATTAAAGATACAAAATGTGGTGTGAGTTGCTGGTAGTTGTGTTACATTTGGAAAGCAGCATGGGCTAGCTGTTTCCCCCTGTTTCCAGTGTTTGTGCTAAGCTAAGCTAACTGGCTGGTGCTTGTAGTTAAATATGTATCGTACAGACACGAACAAGGTATCATTCTTATTATCTAGCTTTCTTTCCGTTGAGTACAAATGTGTGTACTATTCTTTTAAGATAATCTTAAAACTAATTTACCAGACTTTAGTCCAAAAGCTGACTACTCTCAAAAGTTATAATAACTTGAACTCTGGTTTTCTTTAGTTGAAAAAAGTGATACTTACATAACAATAAAATGTTACAGTGTTATATTTTTTAACTAAAAGTCATCCCTGTCTCATAATTCAGTCAGTCACGGGCTGGAGCTACAGACCGTTTCCCAGGTGGCAGCACGGTGTGGAGAAAATGTGACACTGACATGTAATGTCAGCTCACCAGGCCTCGATATTAAATACTTTTCCTGGCATAAGAATAAAAGTCTGTGTCAAAATGACAACCAGCATGATGACCCCAAGGTTAAATGTGAATATATAGTCGAGCCGCCACAAAGCCTCACTCTGATTCTCCTCAACGTGATGCCCAGCGACCAGGGAAAATACCTCTGCATGCTGGGCTCCAGCCATGGTGTGAAGTCTAAAACTACTGATGTTAAAGTACAAGGTGAGTTATCACTATCAGTAACAAAAAGAAAAGTTACAAATCTCAATGTCTTCTTTTACTTGTCTAAAAGTCCTTTGTTTTCACAGATTGCCTTGAAACTTCTGGCTACAACAGAAATGAGTCTTATGCTGAGTGCTGGTTCAATGGAGTTTACCCTGGTGGCGGCAGCGTCCGCTGGTCCCAAGGAGAGCTTAACTTCACGGCCCCTGCCTTCTACCAGAAAGAAGAAATGGACCATCATGGACGGTACAATATCTTGAGTCAATTAGATGTCCAGAAAGGACATTTGAACCAGCCGTATACCTGCTCACTGTGGATGCCTTCGACCAGTAAGGCACTTTTTAGTCACAAACTACATGTGGTTAAGAAATTGAAAGGGTCATCAGAAAGCATGGTCACGCTGCAGTGGATCTGTTTGATAATGGAAATCATAATGGTTAAATGTATGACATAAAGGGAACAAACCAACAGAATTCAGATGTTGAAATAAAAAGGAAGCCACAGATTAATTCAGTAAATTATGAAGTGTTGGGTGCAGTTTTGTTTTGTATTCGTTGCAATGGGTACATTTAGTTTTTAACCCATTGTTACCTGCATTTAAGAGCTTAGGCGGAACTTCTGGGTAAAAACAAGAGTTTGTAGGGTTTTAATTAGCAAGGGTCCAACAAAAAATATATATATTTCACTGATTATTAAATATGTAACAGGAGGGGAGGCAGTCTGTTAGAGAAAGATGAATCTGAAGGCGTATTTTGACCCCCACAATTTGTGAAAACAAACTGCCACACTTAGTTAAAGGGCGTTTAGTTATTAAATGTTGTTTCAGAGGACTGGAAACACTATTTTTCAGAAAATAGGCTTTAGAAATCTGCTGCTATATATTTTTGTTAGAAATTAAAGATGCAGCCTTGTTTTATACTCATTGTAAACAGACCTTTTGCTTTTGTTAAACCTTCACCTCCTCCTTATTGCCAAAAGGAGGCAGTCTTCTCGTGCAAGAGAAATAACACACCTCTGGCCTTTGGTAAATGCTGCAAAGGAGAGCATCGGTATTCTGAATCTATGAACACTGAAGGGGAGTGATAGTTGTCAAATAAAACTGAAAACAAATCGTTGAAGCTTACATTATTCATGTAAAGGACTAAGCAACAACATGCAAGCCAATACAAATACAAATTAAATGACAATGATTAAACCAGATTTGGAACAATATGCCAGAAAATCCAATCATTTAAAAACTGTTAACCTTTTTTTGTTGTTGCAATGTTTAAGATGTGTTGTTCATTCACATATTAGTAGATTGAAATCTGACGTAATGTAGGTTATGTTGTTTGTTAAAGATTTACTTTTGTTTTCTAATTATTTTTGCTATGCTTCATAAATGTTCAAATCCTACATCCGAGTTATATTTTGTGGTTCTGACCAAATGTGTTTACTCATCTGTGGTGTGACTATGGGTCTGTGGATGGATGGTTTGGTTTTGCAAGTTTACACTCCTCGCTGCAAACCTATTTGTTTTGGAGATGTTCAGGCATGCATTCCTTTAAACTAGTTACAGCAAGTTGTGCCTGTGTGTCCCGTGAGACTTGCAAACCACAGAAATGTTTTTCAAAACGTTATTTAAATTCCATTTAAGTTTGCTGTTAATTTTTAAAAGCTAGTTAAAGTAGAAAACAGGTTGCACAGCCTGTTTAATATGCTTTTGTCCTTCAGTCTCAGTGTGGTAAGTTTCACATTAGTAACATGTCTTTCTCAGATGAATGGTGAAAAAGGAACAAGAAAAGCTGTGTTCTCTGTGCATGTATTCATTTCTTCTGATTTGAAACTGATATTACAATGAATGCAAAGGACCTGATGCAGTCCTTTAAATGAGGAGCAAAAACATTCTCAATTCTTCAACGTATCAGTGGATAGTTTAAAGGGATAGTGGAAATGGAACCTCAAATAGTTTCGTTTTAACTTATATACAAGCATAATTACGTACCAAAACAATCACACCTGATCAAAAAAATATAATAATTGCCTTACGCATGTTAGAAGCACTTTATTGCAGCTTCCCCGAAGTGTTTTAGAAACGAAATGTTCGACTCAGCCAAACCGGAAGTGACGAAAACTCAGGAAGACGATACGATAACAAACCATGGCGTCTATGCAGAATGAACGTGGAAGGGCAAATATACCAGACAAAGAAGAAGGATTGTACGAGGTATCCAGTGATGATAGCGAGTCAGAAACATCCTCTCGGCTTTCCTACGAAAATGTCGTTTTAGGAACTGAATCTGAATCCGGTTCAGTAAGCGACGATGGTGAGAATATTGAGCCAGACGATGGACCATTACGTCCTTATTTGTTCGAGCCCGAGCCCGAGGTGATGGTTCACGGCATGGGCAATGGCGAGGATGACCAGGACCAGGCGCCAGATGATGCACCCCTACGCACAAATAATCTTGACTGGTAGGTCCCTAAGCATAGCTCACGCATCTTAAGATCACCTGTAGCCTTTACAAATATTAATCATTGTTAACCAGTTAAGCCCGAAGGTCCCCCCAGTGGACCCCTCCCACAGTTTTTTTTCTCTCACATGTCTCAGGGCTTCTTAACATTTATGAAACTATTAATGTTTCATACCCTTTTAAAGGTAAGAAACTCCGCTAACTGACAATAAGAACAATTGTTAGCTAGAAAAAACACAAGAGTAATACCAAGCCTTTGAATTAGCATTGAGCGAAACAATGCTAACTAATGCTAACGCTTTTTTACACACAACACACGGTGGAAATGCCCTTATTACTATCTTAACTGCACAAACAAGATATACGATTTAAAGCTGAGACTCCACAGATGTAATGTCATCACTATAAGACCTCGAATTCCTGGAGCTATCAGCCAGAAAAGAGAAAGTAAACAACATCCGGTTCCAAAAATATTACAATAATTACGTCTTACCTTTTTTGATTTGTGATCAAAAGTTGTGTTCAACGGAATAAAAACGCATCTCAAGGTTAATCCAATGTCGTTGTGTCACGTAGAATTGTTTACTGATAATCAATCATCATATTTATGGCAATATACTCGGTATAAAGTATTGCCGTCTTACAGTCTTATAGTATTACCTATAGTGAACATTTCTGAACAAATTTCACCCACTGACGACGAATGGCTGGGTTTCTTGGAAACGCATGAGTCGATACGCCATTCTCTGCATTTGCTGTCGCACTACAGCCATACAAAACACATCTATTCACCATAATAAAGGTCGGCTATTCACATGCAAATGCTATTGAATGTCCGCCATTGTTTGTGCCCGTCTTCCTCTGCTCTCGTCATCACCCGAAGATTCCCGCCGATTCCCGAAGTATTTCGTTTCATTGAGAGGGCGCAGTAAAATTGAAAATAAAATGAAACTAGGCGCATGAAATTAAAAAAAATTGTTTATTATGCTTATTTTTAATACAAATACATAAGTTAAACCCAAAATTCGCGGATTTCCACTATCCCTTTAAATTCAGCTGGTACTGTAGAAAGATAACATAACTATGAGTCATAAGATTGACTTTAATAATAGGAGTCAGTGACCGAAAGAGCGAGTGAGGACAAGTGCAGGTACTTCGTTGCACAATAACTTTATTCTCCTGTGTGGGTTTGATCGAAGTAGACATGCTTACACAAGCAATAACAATACATATGTCCCTAGACAGGGCTTTGAATTAATAAAACAATCCCGAGTGGTTCAGAGGCAAGATAGCATGACCTCAGGAGACCCGGCAGAGAGCATATTAGTAAACGATCGAACTGGAGGAACTGAATTGTTTGTACAGGGAAAAAACGAGTTGATTGCTTGCATTGGAGATCAATATTGTTTGACCGTTAGAGAACAAATCTTTAACATGTAATCCTCTAGTCTAGATGAATGCCAATGGTGGAATCATCTAATATTACATTCTGTTTGAGTCTACATATGAACATATTCTAAATATACTGTCTAACGGAGATTAGAAATTAGCAAAAGTATAATTATTAAACCCTTAAAGGAATACTTTAACCCAAATATATATATATATATACATATATATATAAACATACGCATTATATCAATCTTATTATTCATAAGTAATATTCTCTAAATGTCAAATTTAGCTTTTTTAAAAGCATCAGTATCCAAATGTTTTTGTGAGCAGAAAGTTTTGTAAAATAGTGAGTAGTGTGGAACAGTCATTCACCCGCTGTTATTTACTAAAATAAAATCCAATCATTTGTATCTAAATGCAAATTAGTGTTTGTTGTTTGTTCAAGTGGAGAATGTTGTTTATCTCCCGGTACGTCCAAAATAATAAACTATGCCGTTAATTACAAGAGCAGTGAGTAGGTGTGTGTTTGCAAAACACAGTCATCCAGAAACTGAAACATAACAATGAATAAATGATCTCATATTGCCAGCGACTGTGGAACATCCTCAAGCTGTTTCAGGCTTTCGGGTTCTCAACATTTGAGTCTGCAAAGACAACCTGATTGCTCTAATGTTCTCCTATTTAGATACAAAAAAACACTGTTGCCATGGTGAACTGAAGCCGATGAAGCCTCACTTCAAGAAAATAAATTGGCTTTTCTTTCGGATGCGGACAAAAAAAGTCCATCAAAAATAAAAGCAATTAAATATGCTTTGCTTTGAAATACATTATGTTTTGAGGAGCAACTTCTCATTAAACAGGGAGGTCAAACTCATAGATGTGTGGGTATTATCTAAGAATCATTTGCATTTTCTTTTTATTTGTTGTTGAACGGTCAGGATGCACTGAAGTCCTGGAAGAAACGGGTGGGTTTTATACATGTAATACATTTGTAGAGGAGTTAAAGCTTTAAAGTTGGCCCTGTTATGCTTTTGGGGGGTTTTCCCTTTCCTGTACTGTTATTTAGGTTTTTGTGCATGTAACAGGGATTTTCTCCCTTGCTAGAAAACATCTGTAATGTCGCCCAATCAAAAGCAATGTAAACAGGAAGCCACTGCATAGCAGCTTTCAGACATTACAGTCTTAGAGGTAAGATATGTCGACTGGATGATAAAACTCAAAACTCTAAATAATACCAGTGTTGGATATGACAATATCTTTTTTGATTTTTCTGTTTGTAGGTAATGCACCACCAGTGTGCTTATTCATCTAAATGCATCACAGTCATAGATTGTATCCAGAGTGGGTCACAGTGATATGGATGTGTATGTGGAAAGACCACTATGTTTTAAATTGGCAGCAGAAGTGGAAGTCTGTCAAAAAGATCTCACATTGAAACGTTATGTAACATTCCAATTATTTTATGTAACTGGTTGTTCAGGCTCCTCCTCTTCACTCAGATCCCCTGGCTTTCTTACATGTGTTGATTCTGTGCATCGCCACTCAATACAGTAGCTTACTGTATGTCCACACACACTTACTGTATACACGTAGATTTGCAGCCCATAAGCATCTTCAGTGAGCGAGAACTCATTGACCGGTGACGAGGAGGAGCTTATCAGAGCTGATTCAACACTGATATGCATCATATGATCAGCTCTGTGTACAAACAGTGGAGATATCTCTACTCTCTCTCTGTCTTGAAATGTTCAGTAATAAACAAATAAGGAAAGAAATTAAGGTAAATAGTCATTTTTTTGTTGTGTAAAATATATAACTCATGTAAGCCAACCATCTGTGAGAATAATTGAAGAACTTCTTAAAATACAACTCAATCTTATGAAAGTTTAATTAGAATTGGGAGGGATGAAACCCTCTGTAATGGTCACACATGCAGAGCACACAGCACACAGCACACACCGTGAAATGTGTTCTCTGCTTTTAACCAGGACTAGTAGGAGTCTAGAACTAGGAGCAGGGGGCAGCTACAGCACCCGGGGAGCAATGGGAGTGAGGGGGGAAGGGGGATGTCCGGTGCCTTGCTCAAGGGCACCACGGCAGGGCAGGAGGTGAACTGGGACCTCTCCAAGTAGAAGTCCACACTCCATATTTAGGTCTGGTCGGGGACTTGAACCGGCGACCCTACGGCTCACAGTCCAAGCCCCTAATTTCATGATGTCACTTTTTAGGGTGGGTTGTCTCCGACCCTAAAAATCGCCATCCCTATCATGTCAAGATATCATTTCAAGAGCCACTGAAACTACAGCTGGAAGTACCCGGATTTAGTGCCATCTGCTGGCTCTTTTACTGAAAGTTTCAAAAAGAACAAAACTAACACAAATCTTTGGCACAAAATAAGATTGTAATCTACTGTGTTTACTTACAGCAACAGCTTTACATTAAAGTTATTACGGTGACATAGTTGAACA